AGAATATTGGTAAGAAACCATGGCTATAGCAAATTGATCTAATTTTTTATATCATATGTGTAGTGTGGTTTGATATAGTTGATGTTATTTATACAAAATTTGGTCATGAATATAAAAAATCAAATTTTTATATTTAACTAATCTTTTGAACAATTTAATTCCTTTAGTTCTTAATATATATGTAATTCATCATTGAGAAGACAACTAATCATCTTATAAAGAAACTATAGTATTGTTAGAATGACCTCTTCTTTAGATTCAATCAAAAAAATTACAAACATACACCTTTAATGTTTTTTTTTAACATTTTTTATTGAATAAAAACAAATCATTTAATATTCAATTTTGTTACTAACTATCTTATTACCATAAGTAATCATTCTGTAGAAATTATTTATAATATTATCTGTCAACATACAATTATATATGTTATAGCTCAATAATTACAAAAGGAACCATGTTGCATTTTTCAACATTGAGAAGACAATAATTTTTATCAACATTTCGTGAATTTTATAAATATCCTTACATACCAAAACAATTGCATGTGTTTTTTCAAAAATGTTCTGTAATGTTTCTTGATATATTTATAAAAATATATTAAGCTTATTATATATATTCTTTAATTATTAGTTTATCTGATAACATTAACTTATACAAATTGCCTTCTTTAGATTATGTAATAACAGATCATTAACTTCTTTTTGTTATTTCAAGAAAACTCTTTACAAATGTCCTATATGATTACTTATATTGCAATTGCACTGACTATGTCAACTATTTGAATAATAACAGTATTCTTATATATGAATATGATTATTATAACCAATACCTGCAGAAATATCAATTTAAATGTTTGATAAATCAAGACTATCTTCAGGATGAAATTAAAAAAATGTTGATGTGTTAAAGATAGGTTTAATGAAAAAATTAAGAAAAAATGAGTTTATTGATGAGAGTACTGAAGACACAGATAAAGATGACTCAAGTAGTGCTGAAACAATAATAGACGATGTAGCAATAATAGATAATTTATTAGAACATGCAAAAAAGAAAATTTTAAACTTGTAATTTTTTTTTTTAATAAACTTTATTAATAAATAATTATTTGATAATTAGTTAATTTTCATAAGTGACGATTTATTGGCAAAATTATTTTAATTAATGTCAAAATACATTAAATAGTATAATTATTTGTGTGGGGGTTTACGTAAAAATATAGCAATTACTTCTTAAAAAATTAGACACCTATGTATAGTCATAACGTATAAATTAATTTTATTATTTACGACATAATAACGTCAATTAAAGATTCGAAATTCCAGCAAAAAATAAAATGAAATACCGCAATTGGTTTCAAAAAGAGGCATGAAATTTTCTTCCCGACAACTAATAAAATATTGAATTATTCGCTTATTATTAAAATGCATGATTTCTATTGGAATATTATGTAACACAAATTTCCTTATTTGGGACGGTCCCTCCTGCTGACTGTTGTATTAACATAGTGATCGATTATTTTGTAACAAGAGCGAGCGTTCAAATTCGTAGATGATTCCGATATAGTCACACGGTTGATAAATAATATTTTTTTATATATTTTTTTGAACAGCTTGAATAGCTAACTTTCTATGAAACAAGAGTAAATTTAGCGGATGAATTAATGCATTCGCTTCGCTTTATACCAATTTTTTTTTGAATATTTGTGAATCCCACAACTTTTTCTTTTTAGCGTAACAAAGGATCCTTGTAATTTGGATTTTTTTTTTTTTTTTTTAATCTTCCGCGCCAGAATCTGATATAAGGTAATTTAGCGAAATATGTTTTTAATATCAGTAAATTATTTGATTTACTGATTAATAAAAGTAGATTCAATTATGCTTACTTATCTGTACATAACTTCTAACGTAGTAAATTTCATTTAATAGCTGGCCCGGTTACGGTCATATTCGATTGATCAATCGAACGAAAGTACGAGGTAATTTAATACGAAAGTATAATTAATGTAATTTGTACCTTAGTAAGTATGAGGTAATATGAGTAATAATGAAAAGGGATTTTGTCTTTTCTGCGAACCCGACTTTGTTATGGTTACATCGATCTCACCATAAGTAGATCGATAGGTGATTGAACTGGCCTGCGGGACGGGACGGCAACCATGATAGGGTAAAAATAATATAGCGGGTAGGTTGTGTGGATACAAATGTTGGAATTGTAGTCTGTTGGGATGACAATCACAATAAAAGAGTGGCTAATCGGGACGACTGCGAATTTGTAAAAAAAAAAAAACAGAATAGTTGGTCGATACTCACAAAGGCTGTGTAAGAAGAAGCAATACCCGTTTATTTTCTTCATAGTAATAGTTGCACAGAAAAATGAAAGACAAAACAAAGACTGCTTATGGGTTACAATCGTCAGAAAAGCATTTTTTTTTTTTTGTAGTGTTCAAAGTGCTGTTACAGCTTTATTTTCTTTATAATATATTTTTAAAAAAATAACTATAAATTTTCATATAATCTAATATACTATTGTAATTTATTTTGCTTCGCTTAACAAAATATTGTTTTGTAGTAATCTATTATGCTCCGCTAAACAAATACTATATTATACTTGCTAAAAAAATATCATTATAGCTATTTAATATAATATATTTGCATTTTGAGATTTGTTTCAATCATTCGTGATTTTAGTATAACAAAAAACATGCGTTTGTGCAATATGTATATAATTGTTTATTCCCAGGTTCTTATTATACTTCTATACTATTTTTTCAAATTAAAGTTACGCATTTCATAAAGTTTAGCTTTACTACAATCACACCACTTTCTTTTTTTTTTTAGCCAAAGATTTTACTTTTTCGTAACTTTAATAGTTTAAAACTTCGTATAACGTTAAAAAAAGTAAAAAAAAAGATATATAATCAAGAAGAAATATAAAAACTCCGGATCAGCCCAAATCCGAGATCTGGGCAGCAAGCGAAAAAAATAGTATAAGTATAAATAAGAACCGAGGAATAAGATTATATGCTTTCCAGATACCGTATATAAGTGTGCCTCTTGGGAAATTTGTGCAATAACTAATAAACGTTCTTAGTGAATAACCGTGTATTTCTTTAATCTGCGTCATTGTGTGGTTTAAACGGAAGTACCTGTACGATACTCCAGTCCAGCAAAGCGTTAGTAAAAGTCATTGTAGTACATGATATACCACAGTGGCAAGTTAATTTTTTTTTTTTTTTTAGAAAATACAATTTCTGTACTAAGTTTAATACTGACAAAATGTATAAAAGAACTTGATAGCAATCACGTGTATTTCAAATGGCAATGCTTGATAAAACCTATCTTCATATTTTTTCTTACCTCAATAAAGATTTCTTTTCACAGAACAAAAAAAAAACAACATTGACGAACTCAATTATTTTTGACGCTGATGTCGAAGATTTCTGGAGTCTAACACAACAAAAACATGAACTGAATTTAATCAGATGAAAATGAACTTCCAGTACTATCTTCAAAAGTTTAACGTGCATATAAAAAACTATGAAGATTTCAACTTACTCTTTTAGAAAATCATGGTCTAACCAATATTGGTTTTCAATTAATATGTTGGAAGTATTCATTTGTAAAAGTAGAGCAATTCAAATTACTCAATATGACTAATAACTATTTAGTTATTATACATAGATCAAAGAGAATATTTCAAATTGAAAAAATAGAGATGTTTGCTAGTGATTATACAGTAAATATATATTCGGTGTGGGACCCGGGGATCCATTACCTAATTTGGTAAAAGGTCGATCGCATGCATGTGACAGATGTGACGGATATAAGCGATCGGTAAGATGCTATGCATCGGTAGCATCAGCGATATCGGTTGTATTAATCGTAAGATGTAAATAATTCTTGAAATTATAATAAAGGTCTTTAGACCTTCCGGGAAACAGAACTCCCCCTCTGCTGAAAAACTAAGCACATAAAACATCTCTCTTGCAACAATCCACCTGTCAAATGATAAGATAGTAAACTGGTTGTTTTATTGAAATATCCATTACCCATACTACATAAGCTGACCCTAAGGTACCATTACATAAAGCACGCCAATACCTCCGCTCAAAACAACCCAAACTTTGTTCACAATTCATCGTAAAACCTGACTAATAAACAGGGCTTACACGAGACCGGATAAGTTGAAGCCGGATTTACGTTTACAATGGACAGAAATCATACTTTTTGAAATTTGCGTAGTTTGATTAGTAATCAAGTGCAAACATTTCTTGGAACTTGTGAAATACAGGAAAGACGAGATTGGAAATAAACCTCCGGATTGGAAACTACATGCTATATCTAACATTAATAGATTAAATTGAAACAGGAATATGACGACTAATTAAATTATTTACAATATACAGCTTTATTCTTGTATTTACTTTTGATCAAAATATTTTAAAACATGTAACTTAACAATTATTATTTTAATATCATTTGAATCACCTTAATGAGACGATTCAGATAACATTAATATCTTAAGTGTTCAATTACTTGGTTTTTCAAGATAGAAATAGTATTACTTCAAAATTGTATTTTTTATCTAATGTAGATCATTACATGTGACCATATATGGAAAAATATTAATAAAGTAGCAGTAGTGAATTAAAGATTGTACATACGTGTAACATAGCTCAATAGAAAATATTATGCATACGGGAAAATTTTTTAATAGCGATAATATACAGGGCTGTGTAGTGGCTATGTCGATAATGAGTAACTATCATATTTACCTAAATCGTCGATAATTTATCGTTATTGATAATTACTTGTTTTTTTGGACAATTACTTGATTTTTGAAAAAAGGCAATATTGATATGCATTTACTAAAATTAAAATATCACGAAATTACGAATGTTTGAATACATTTGTTTTTTTCTAAAGCAAAACTTCATTTTTTAGTTCACATTTTGTAGTTCACATTTTATTAGGCAACAGTAAAATAAATATTTTGTGATGGATCCATTTGACACAAATGAAATGAAAGAGAAGGAGAATAGATTATTAAGAAAGATCGATTTTAAAATTGTTCCATTTATGCTGCTGCTTTACCTATTAAGCTTTTTAGATAGGTATAAGAACCATGATTTCTTGATCATCCTATACGTGTATTTGAAAAATAATTATATATATATCGATATATATTCTTTTTAATTAAAGAGTAAACATTGGAAACGCAAAATTGGCTCATTTGGAACGTGATCTTGGATTGGTTGGAAGTGAATTTAATTGGAGTTTAAGCATTTTTTTTATGTAAGCCTGTTTATTAAATTAATTATAATTTCTAAAAAATAAATTCTATAATGAATCTTTAAATTATTTTATAGCGGATATGTTGTATTTGAGATACCATCAAATTTGGTATTATATAAAGTTAGGCCTTCAATATGGCGTAAGATTTAACTTTAATAATAGTATTTCTTAAAGAAGGTTGGGTCATCTCTATTTTCATTCAAGTTATTGATATTTTTTATAGTCCCAACAATTATGATTGCTTGGGGAATAACAATGTCACTTATGGCTTTTGTAAGTAATAGAATTAATAAATTTAATTCCAGATAATGTAAAGTAATCTCACTTTTTTTGTTTATTGAAAGGTAAAATCATATGCAGAACTTTTGATCACACGCTTTTTCTTGGGAGTTTTTGAAGCAGGTTTAGTTCCGGGAATAGTTTATTATATTACTTTGTGGTATAGAAGATACGACCAAAGTTTTAGAATGGGGGTTATTTTATCCGGATCATCAATTGCTGGTGCTTTTAGTGGATTATTAACTTATGCAATTGTAAGTCTTACGAATGATGATTCACCTTTAAAAGGATGGCAATTGGTATGTTAATTACTTTATTACAGTATCAATACAAATATATAATGTTATGCATTGTGATTATTTATTTTCTCTAATATCATAAGGTTATTCATTTCATTTTATGTATCAGATTTTTCTAATTGATGGTTTAGTTACTGTTATAGTTGCTATTATTGCATATTTTTATATTGCTGACTATCCAGAAGAAGCCAAGTGGCTTAGAAAAGAAGAGAGATCATTGGCAGTTTTAAGATTAAAACGTGATATTGATGGAATTGAATATAAAAAAGCTCGAGAACACTCATTTGATAAGGTTTATATAGTGGAGTGTTTGACGGATTGGGTATGGTAGATTATTTTTATTGATAGGTTATTTGAAATGATTTTGTTATCATTTTTTCATTATATTTATTTTTCATTCAGAAAGTGTACATATCGATGCTCATTTTATTAGGAATTAATACCTCAGTTTATTCATTTGCATTTTATATTCCTTCAATCGTCAATGGATTCGGTTTCGATGAAGGCAAGTATGGAAAAAAATAATAAAGCATGGATTTTACATAATTATCTAATCTCTATTATTATATATTACACATCAAAGTCATGTCACAATTAATGGTGGCACCTCCATTTTTGTTTGGCTGTATATCAATATTAGTAGTATCAACTTTATCTGATAGGATGAGTCTTCGTGGTCCTTTTATAATGTCGTTTGCTTCAATTGCAACTGTGGGATATATAGTTATCTTGTATTCTATAAATATGAATTCTATGATTGGTTTATATTTCAAAATTTTATATAATGGTGTTGTTATTATCGTTATTGTTTCTTTATTCACATTTTTTAATTATTCGTTTGTATAGTGAAATACATAGCAACTTGTATTATAGCAATAGGTGCATCTCCATGTGGTGTTCTTACAATTATATGGTAGATATGAGATTTTTTGCATTTAAACAATTTAATTTCATATAATTACTAAAGTCTTACTTCTCATTGTTTATATTATTCCAAAAGGCTGTCAAACAACCTGTCACCACCACTAAAATGTAACATAGGTGTTGCAATGATGATAAGTTGTGGTAACTGTGGAGGTATAATTGCCGCACAGATATATCGTTCTGTAGATTATCCTAATTACGAACGTGGTCATATTATTGCATCATGTTTCTTATTAGCAGCCATTTGTTTGTGTGCAATCCAGTATGGAACTTTAATCCGACTTAATGAGTTAAAAGAAGAGAAGAAACTTAGCATTAAAACTTCTGGTTATAAAGGTATTGAAGAAGATAAAAAGATATTAAGTGATAGACATTATAAATTTGAATATAGTTTGTAAATTATTGTAGTTTTAAAAAGGGGAAGGGTGCAATTTACCAATAAAAGCTATTTGAATAAAATATGAAAGTTAAAATTAATATAATGTGTCCCCATGAAAGATGTAAGTACATAAATTAGCTACATAATTGAGGGATTTAAATTGTAGGTAAATTTTGCATCTGGTATGGGATTCGTTACTGTATGACAGCTGAAACTTTATATTGTTGATTAAAAAGAAATGGTTTGTAATTCAAAGCATTCGAAGCAGATGTATGAAACGACTCTAGTAACGTTGCAAATATGATCATGATTACGAAGCTGAATTAGATATCTATTAATGACAAATATAAAATAATTATATATTAATTATGCTGTTATATGTCCAGAGCGGATATAGTACACGAATATAGATTGTCAATTGATAGGATTCCATGACATTTTTTGGTTTTACTTATCTATTTCAAGTCCTCCGCTATGCTCCGGACAATACCAAAAAAAGGCAATTAAAATCAATAATATGACACCAGAAGTGAATTAGCTATTAGTATTGGAGATTTTATCTCTTAAACTTTAACTAAATCGTTACGAAGAAGCTTCTATGTATAAAATAGTTATATTTGTGACAAACTTAATACCAGCAGAAATTTTTACCATTAAATCTCGATAACTTTAAACCAAACCTGTAATCTTGTTGCAGACAAAATTTTGACGATCTAAATTTTTTTTTAAAAAATTCCTAACATATACGAATCAGAAAAGAAAAAAAAAACGAACCAAAAACGAAAAAAAAGTGAACCAAAAACGAACAATACAAGAATAAATGGTTGAACTTTATTATAGAACAATAATAACTAATAAAATAATAATCTGTAACAACTTTTAGTACTTCTTCCAATATCAAACTGTAGAATTACTGAATTACGGCATTTTACCATGTGGCATTACGGCATTACGGCTCAAAAAAAATTACGGCATATTACCAAATTAATTCTACCACCAACTATATATCAAACTGATATTGATTTTTATTTAATATCATTATACATTACAGTGCCGCTACTTCGTTTTAACTCTTACGAATTCTATAAACTTTATGCGTAACTCTCAACTCATATTATCTGTTATTAGGCTAGTTATATGTAGTTAGGTTTCTTTATTAGTTGGGTTACGAAGAACACTTTTTTTACAACTTAAATTGCCATGTTTAACAATTTATTGTCCTCTAGGCTAAACTTAAACGTTCAAACATACATCTCATCTAACTTCCGAATTACCTCACGGTTTACCGAATTACTTTTATTGTATATAAAGCAAAGCTTGAATTTTTTTTGGTTTACTCTTGCTGAATTCGTATTCCAATTCTTGTGACAACAAATCGTTACTTTAGAGATGATCAAAATCAACCAATCACAATAAAGCAGATATAATTTTTTTTTTATATATAGTGTGAGCCCCGAAATCGGTACCACCGTTATCACGGTCATACGTGACACGTGATTGATCGTCGAATTTAGGTCCCATCGCCTACCCGAGTAATTGGTCACATGAAAAGTAAGATTTATCTTACTTTTCTTACTTTTTAGTTGGTATAGTGGGAAAAGGGTTTTTAAGGATAATATAGTGTAAATAGTGTAAATAGATAATAAAGAGGAAATTATCCTCAGTTGTAAATAAACTTTTATTATAAATAAAGGGCTTTCCGCCCAGGGAAAACAACCGCGATACCCCCAAGTCAATACATTTGCTAAAATAAACTTAAGTATCGGACCCATATTAAAAGTAAACTATAACCCAACCCAAAACTATCGTTAAAACTATCGTAATCAACTCATTCGCCCATTTGCAATCCATTAAAACCTCATTTTTGTTCGTTCGCCGCAAGTCACGTGACCAAGCCGTTAACGCAAGAGAAGGACTCCAACCCGATTCGACGTATCGTAACCCCAGGTTAAGGAAGTAGAAGGAAGAGAAGAAAAGGCAAGGGTTAATAAAAGAATAGGTTGGAGGAAAGACTTAGAAGAGAAGAATAGTACTTACCTACGGATAAACCACTAGCCAAATCTAACACGCCTATTTCGACTTAGCCGCCGTAGGTTACACGAGAATTGGAAGGAATTAGCGACAGACTCGCCGATTTACCGAATAACAATAGTAACGTAACGCATTCAATCAAATGGATATTAATGCAATTGGGCAGCTTACTTTAAACACTCATTTTTATCATACTCACCTAAATTAACACGCACAGAATAAATTAAAAGTAAATAATCATGAAATCGAAAAACTTATTTTACACGGATTGATAAATCTTTATCATACTCACCGAAATTAAGATGAACAAATCAAATTACAAAGTAAATAGTTGTGAACCGGAATACCCTATTTTAAATACTCAAAGCATTCTTTACACTCACCTAAATTAATACAAAAACATGAAATTAAGTAATTAATATTATAAACATGATAGCTTATTTTTACACTTAGGTACTGTATTAAATTCCTTACGTTCACCAGAATTAATGCGAAAAAATGTTATCAAATAGCAAATACTCATAAACTTGAATAATTTATTTTAAAAATTTAAAGTATTAAATTTCTTTACACACACCTAATTGACGCGAAAAAATGAAACCAAATAGTAAATCTTCATAGACTCAAATAGCTTCTTTTAAATACTTAAATATTCATAAACTTGAACAACTTACATCTAAATTGAAATCAAATCATAAATATTCAAAAACTTGAATTATATTCACCTAAATTAAGATTATAAAATGAAATTAAACACAGTCACGCCTTCCTAAGTGCATCCCATCGGGATCATAATTAAAAAAATTAAAATTTTGCACTTAATGGGGTTGCACTTATAAAAGATAAAATATATAAGACTCTCATATGTTGGGACCAAACTGTATCGTGCATTTAGAAAGGTTTACATAGTACTTGCACTTAGGGGAATGCGACTGTGGTAAATATTCATAAGCTTGAATAGCCTAAGGTATTAAATTTTCTTCAAACTCACCTATTAAAATTAGAATATATAGAGCAAATTTTATGGATCTGAATAGCTTCTTTAAACACTTATTAATGCGATAAAATATTAAATATCTATAAACATAAATGCGTATAATTAAATTATTAGTATTATGATTTATGTTCTTTAATTAATATTATTTAATTACAATAAATCAAATAAATTTATCAACAAAGCAAAAAATAGTAAACTTTAATTGAGGGGATGTGGCAACTTAGTGAACTGAATAAGTTGTTAACTCCTCTAAGTGGTATATTAGGTGTTTAAATTCTATCAATAGTGAAAATTTAGATAATCACCTATGTAATATTCTTATTATAACAATTGTTTTTTAATAATTGAATTAAAATACCTGTAATGGCAGTTGCACCAGCATGATTGGCAGGTCATGAAGTGTTTGTGTAAGTATAACATTATACAGGGAAATGAAAACTAGTATCAGATGGTGCAAACTTTAGATAAGTTTTTGTGGTTATGTAAGTCTATTGAAATTAGAAAACAAGAAGTTTATTTAAAAAGATCTAAGTAGAAAGATAACACAGTTCTTCAACAGTACTACTATAAAGACTAATCTTAGGAAACAGATACCAATGTCAAAGTATCTAGATAAGCAAGAACTCCTAGGTAGAAGTATTACTAACCAGGCTACCAGAACAGACTAAAAAAAAAGACTATCAGGTTGATCTGATATATTAATAGACTGGTTATAGTCCTACCAGACTATCTGAATTGGAAATAAAAAAACAGTCAGAATTATACTAAAGTAATTCAGATATACTATAAAATAAATGTTAAGATTTAAGTAAACTTTACAACAATACAGTTGTTTTTTAACTAGTACTGACTGTAAGTGTTAGTTCTACTATATTAATATTAGGTCAGTTATAAAAATAAGTATAAAAAACTCTAAAAGATTTATCTTAAAAATAAAATAGTTCTAGATTTGAGATAATAATCTAAACATAATCTAGTAATATTAACAAAGATGCAGATTCAGAGTATTTAAAATAGAACATTTAAGCAGAACTATTAGATATAGTAATTGATAGAAAACTTTTAAGTAAACTCTTTAAATAAGTAATATAAAAAAGTTATATATATAATCAATTATTCTCTAACCCATTGGCATACATGCTCAAACCTATCACTTATCTTCAATATTATCTGAACTAGCATATCTGAATATATTAATCATATAGATCTTGATTTATCTACAAACCAACAAGAAGAACTTATTCATAAAATCAGTAACTACTATGCCTTTTACCTTATACCTCTTCAAACCAATCAACACTATCTTAATATCACACTCAAAAAACTTATTTCTAAATCTCTAATTGAGATTGTACAAAACTTTAACATCTCATACAAACTAGTCTCACAAACAATTATTGCTATTCTGCT